GTTTATGTAAAAATTGAGGGACCACAAAAAGAGATTGAGCATTTGTTGTAGGAAATAAAGCTGTGTGCATGTGGCACTGATATTGAAATATGTTCTCATGTTGTAGGAAATAAAGCTGTGTGCATGTGGCATTGATATTGAAATATGTTCCTATACAGGAAATAAAGCTGTGTGCATGTGGCATTGATATTGAAATATGTTCTCATGTTGTAGGAAATAAAGCTGTGTACGTGGCAATTGATACTGAAATGATTCTCGCGTTACAGGAAATAAAGCTCGTGCATGTGGCACTGACATTGAAATACGTTCCCTGCTTGCAGGAACAAAGCCGTGCGCATGTGGCACTGATATGGAACATGTTCCCGCCAGCAGGAAACAAAGCCGTGCGCATGTGGCACTGATACTGAAATATGTTCCTTTACGTTGCAGGAAATAAAGCCAGGCATGTGGTACTGATATTGAAAATTACGTTCCCCGTTGCAGGGAAATAAAGCTGTGCGCATGTGGCACTGATACTGGAAATGCTGCTCTACGTTGTAGGAAATAAAGCTGTGCGCATGTGGCACCGATATTGAAATATGTTCCACGTTGTAGAAAAACAAAGCCAGGCCGGCACTGATATTGAAATATGTCTCGGCGTTGCAGGAAATAAAGCCAGGTGCATGGTACTGATATTGAAATATGTTCCTCATGCCAGGGAATAAAGCCAGGTGCATGTGGCATTTGATATTGAAATATGTTCCTCAGCGTTGCAGGAAATAAAGCTGTGTGCATGTGGCATTGATATTGAAATATGTCTCATGTTGTAGAAAAATAAAGCTGTGTGCATGTGGCATTGATATTGAAATATGTTTCATTGGTATTTACCTCAGGCCAACAAAAATACAATCCTGTCTTTAAAGCAAAATTTAAATCATTATCAGCCCTTTGTCAGTCAATTCACTCTCATCTACTCTAAACTCACACAGGCTGTACTTAGTAATTTTAGGCATTGTAGTCTAGGATATGACAAGGAAGTTTGAAGTTTAATGTAAACAGGACATTGACAGCTCCAAAAATATTCTTATTCTGTACCTGCTTAGCAGACATAGCAAATAAGAATTTTATATAAAAAATACATGATGGTTGTTGATAAATTTAGGAGTAGTAAATGAATGTGGCTCACATTTTGAGAGAGGCCTCAACTTTTATTGTCTGAACAAAAACGTCTTTTGTTATAAAATGAGACTTTGTCGTGGTGACAAATCTGAAAATAGTTCCAAAGATAGCAAATACCACAGGAATAGTAAAGCAAAATAATAAGTTAATGGCTCTTAAAATAACTAATTTAAGCAAAGAGCACTAACCTAATAGTTCTAAACTAAACGAAATGAAAATTTGCAATCTACTGATACTTATAATGGCAAGAGAGAGTGCATGTCATCTCCTCATATAGGAATAAATTAAAACATAATCTTTTGTTTGGCAGAGGATGAGTTGTTAACTTAATTAGACAGCCCATGAAGCGTAACTGAAAGGATGAACGCATTTCTACGTCTTTTATTTTCCATTTAAGAATTTTATCTATTTATTACAATTTATCTAAAACGTCTTTTATTTTAATTATTCCTAGTTTTGAATCTCACTCATTCAGAGAGTGAAGTAGATCTTTTCTCTTGACTTAAAATAGTAAATAGGTTTATTTTATCAATTTCTAAAATGTTACTAGGTATCGTGCGCATAAGATCATATGGTACCCTTTTTAATTCATTTCAAGCATAGCATTTTCATATTTGTTGTTGTTGTTTTCTGCATTGATCTTGTGAGTAATATCCTGTTTATTGCAAACTTTGTTACACCTTTAACATGTTACACCTGCGCTTTAGATACAGCTCTCTTCTTTTCCTTGTGTCTGTGTTTGCTTTCTAACTGTGGTGATATCATATCACATGACATATTCTTATTCAACTGTTTTATATTCGACGTAACAGTTTTGTATAAATTGTATACTGTAATGTATTTATTAACAAGAAACCTTTACTAAATTTAACTATTTGTATTTCTTGTGGTTTTGTGTTTACAGGAAAATATCAAGTTTGAACACGAGGTAATTTCAGTTGTAGCAATATACCATATATAATTAGCTTTATGTTTATACATATTTTGCTTAATTTCGTTATTTCAACGATGATAGCGATTTCTGTTATACTTCGACTTTTAAATCATCGAAATCTCCGAATCGACTGTGTTGAAACTTTAGCAAAAGGCAGTTTCGGAAAACAGAACCAGTATTGCTTTATTGATTGTTTATCACTTTCATCATGACATAACTTAGTTGGACTTTCATAAAAATGATGTTATAGATGCTGGGCAAAGTTCGAACACACATCAAAAATGGTGAAATTGTTGGTCACGTATTTAGCCCTACTCATGTTTTGCTCAATGCTTTCTTATCTCATAGTTACACTACATAGACAATCTTCATATGGGCAGGTATTTGATAGCGCACGGTGGTCAGTCGGATATATTTTCATTGCTAATGCGTACATCGAGAAGGGCTCACTGCAGTTAAAACAATTTGACTTCAACAAATTCGCTTTTGTTTTAACACCTTTACTTGCACTTTAAAGTGAGGTATATATTGTCCAGATCTCTGACGTAGATCTGCTACAAGTGGTTAATAATCTTAGGTAATGTGCCAAGAAGGTAGACAGGTCCGAGTGTGAAGTATTCAAGACAAAAGGATAAAAAATATAATCCTTTAGTTGAAATCGACTTTTTAACTCGTTGTCATTTGTGGAAGGTTTTTTTTATCAATTCTCATCATTGAAAAATGCTTTAACTTCGCCTCTCAAATGTAGAACTGATTACTAAAGTAGACTCTTTAGACTTCAAGTAAATCTGTCTCTGAAAGACAATTTGCTATAAATCATGATAATTAAAACAGATAAAGAGATATTATTGCAGTCAAATATACTTAAGTTTATCGATAAAGATCCATTGGTTTGGCTATTGTATCAGTTTCTTTTTGTTTATTCGGTTATGTGTACTCTTTGCTGGTGGTAGTCCTATTATCCTAAAATTCAAAAATTCCACCGATTTTTCACGTTGGCTGTGTCTCTTTGATTTCTAACGTAGCTGTTACTTTTGTAAAAATTATGCTAATATTTTGGCTTTAAGCAGCAAACTAGCAGAATTTAGTGACTTGAGAATTTAGCTGACGTCAACATTGTCAGATTCACACTGTTTATCTAATGTTTTGATGCACGGTTTAAATTGGACATTGTGTCACTCTTATTATGGAATGAAAGGTTATACGAGATGATAAAAGAGAGCACTCTTTATGAAATTGCCATTTATATTTGTTAATGTATCTTGTGTTTCGTTCTCACATTAGTGCATTTTTAATAAGTCAATTTTTGCCTGCACGAGCAAATAAAATTGCTTTAAATTGAAAACAAAATTGTTTTTCTTGGTGAAAACTTTGCAGACATCTTTGGAACATACATCTATCTATCCATTTACGGTGTTTCTTTTATAAACGTGTAGCAGCTTATCTTCATTGAGATATAAAACCATGTCTTGTCAAACCTTTGTTTGTCATTTATGATTTTGTAATATGACTTATGGGTTTGATTGGAGGAGACGAAGTTGGGAGTTGAGACTGCTTTATCAATGGCTTTATAGTGATAGCATTCAGAGATGAAGGAAAGATATTAACATATATGACTTTATCATGTGTGATGTATATCTTAATTCTATTTGATTGTTTCTAGCTGATGACTGTCGAGGAAATAATTTCACCATTCACCTTTTTTGTTTAATCAATTTTCAATGAAATATCTCTTTGATCTTGCATTGAGTGACCGGAGGGGGTGCTGTGGTTTAGAGATCAAGTTACCTTAGTATTTCAGTGCATTTAATGAGTTTCTTCCCACCTACCAATTCTGTAATGATCTTATAAACGGCCTCGATAAATATTTAGTTCAGAATTTGAAAGAGTTTTCATTACTGAGTTTCTGTGATCGTTACCCAACTAATATATATTGAAGAAACATAAAGGAACAGCACATAGTGGAACCTCATTTTTGTTCTATTTTACTTCTATTTTTTTGTAAATTTCAAACAGTTGCACCTTTTATTTAATATAGCTACATATATATATGTGTGTGTTCTTTAAAATAAATATTTTCTTTTATGTACAATATGTTTCTCTTGCATCGAATGTCAAGGATTCGTATTCTCTTGTTCTATAATCATGTCTGCTGAGTTTTAACTGATAGAGGACTATAAAGACAATATTCTTGTACATATAGACTTGTGTCTCTGTTTGGTTGTTAACTATGGTTAAAGTATTGACATATGTAGATTATGAAGAGTGGAATACTTTGCTTTGAGCTGTTTCGTTCGCTGAGCGTTTGTTGTGGTAAAACTTTCACAATGATTATTGTACAGTTGAATGAGCAATTGTTTCTCGAAGTCGTTAAGACTTAGTTAAACTTTGCGGCTATTTTTACCAATCTTTGCTTCCCAACTTCTTCAATCTCGTGTTTTTGCGCTTACCACAAGTGGAAATGTGTTGCTGAGAAAATGGTGCCAGAAGTTAAATGCACGGGTTTATAACCACTGCAAAATTCACCTTCATGCGGTGGAAATAAGAGGTATAGTTTCTGCAGTAATATGATATACAACTCCTTCTCTCATGTATATTGTAGTGAATGCCATGAGTCATACTCAGAGTATCAAAACTATCCTCCATGTCCACTTCTGCCTAGAATTCGTGATTCTTTGAAACCAAATTTTCACTTCAGGTTGAGTCAGGCAACCATTCTGGCAAGTGTTTTCGTTCGGGCGCTGATAAATACCTTTGCTGACGAAATTATTCAACTGAAGGTGCCGACGCGTCGTTTTCGTTTCTTCTGTTTTACTTTTTATGCTTTCGTGCCGGGTTTCTGTGTCAGAGTTTTATAATGTTCTGATCGATAGTTGAGCATCTGTTGTAGCAAAGATATATGATTCGTCAATTTACAAAGTGAACAAATTATTTTAATCTTCTCGCCATCACACGAAAATCCATGCCTTCCATCTCCAAAGCTCATCAAATGTAATTACATTATAAGAATACTTTCTTTACCAGAACTACATATGAGTACTCGAGTGGCTTTATCATACGAGCAAAATTATTATTCTCAACTTTATTAACTTCCAAAACTCGTTATGTTTAGCATATATAAGTGACTAGAGGAATTTAATGAGTAAAGTTGTAACTTCGCTTAGTTGTGGTCATTGATAATGACTTGTTTAAAGTCGTATCTCAAACCCATTTCTGATGTCTGGCCTTACCTTTAAGGCTCGACTCCTTTCTGTAAAGGTCATTGCTGACCGAAGTTGTAGATTGTCTTGTTCCTAGTTCATCCAGCGAACATCCTTTCGAAAGGGACTCCTTTGTGCGTTTTATATCGACTTTGGAATCGTCTTCCTTACTTTGAGGCATGTTCAATATGTCTCACAAGGAGTAGGCTGTCTTTCCTGCAGATGTTCGGCTATTTTGATTGATTAAAGTACAGATAAGTGATGTCTTTTTCTTTGAATGCCTCTATATTCTTCAGTCAAAGATCTATATAGCTCCTTCCTGATTGAACGCCAACGACACTGCATGAGACAAGTCTTGAAAATACTGACACTTTATCTTTAAGCTGAGAAGATATGTAATTATTTAAAGAAGTAGTGGGACTTTGAGGCGTATCATCTTTGACACCTCGATAACTGACAACAAACATTTCATCGTCGACAACAGCAAATATGTCTTCATAGTGTGCTCACTACAGCCACTGGAAGTGCGAATTGATGGCTTTAAATAAACGTGAAAATGACTTAAAACCAGCCAATTTGGGTAGCTAAAGGTTCGTAATTTGTCTTAATCTATGTGAAATTCCCTTTATTTGTCTCGGGCTAGAAATTGGAGTGCCCCATTTACTTCAAATCATTAGGAATCGTTATTTTAATGTGCTTTTGTTTAAATACATTACTGCAATAAGCAGTTTAATTAATTAAAGTTTAAAAATAAACATCATTTTTTATCAGCGTATAGTAAAAACAAATCTGATTAAACGACAGTTTGTGGAGGATTTTACTGCCGGTCCTTTGTACTGTAAGTTTTAAATAATTTTTATGTCGTTAACTTGCTAAACTTTTTTTTTCAAAAATCTTCTTCATATCTTACCAGAATTCTGCATTTATAATAACAGAATTGTGAACCTACGAAAGAGAGTGTACCGGATGTATATGAATATGATACGTGAAAGGTTTCTTTAAAAATCCACCAGAGCTAATCCTGGATTAGTTTTGAGCTTTAAAAATACTTTCAAAGTGAAGTAACTTTGTGTAAGACGAATATTTTGCATAGTGTCGGTGTCAACGCGACGAAACTCTGGAAAACTCTCAGATAGAAGATCTCAACATCTCTGAACTGAAATAGAAGTTCGTTGTTCTCTGTGTTAATGAAGAATCGTGCTATCTTAAACTGTATCCACATTATCAGCAGAGTACTAACTTTTTATGTCTGTAAACCTGTCAACGTAGTTAGTGTCGATTTAAACTAACTTAAAATTTTATTTAGTTTTGTTCTAAGCTATTCTTTATGATAACATTTCATTTTAAATGCAAATTATGTTAAGCTTATGTTATGTAAGACATCGAAAGATGACCGCAATATTTATGGTCAAAATGATATATATTTGTGGTACAACTATTTGAATGGTGACAACCTTTTCTATGATGACAATCTTTACCAATAGTGACTACCTTCATCTGTAGGTGACAAACAATCATGTTATGGTATAATGACCACCTAACTTATCTATGATGACAACTACCATATTATTGAACCATTTAATCAATCATTTCCAAATGGTTGTTAAGTTTAGTATTTAGATGGCAGTTTTGAGTGTATTTCCACAAAATTTACGATCATAAATTTTATTGATTGTTTGATTTGATTGATATTATTGATTAGAGCTGAGATTATCGCATCGGAACTCCTATGCCAGTGCCGTGTGTGTCCGGTCTGTTAGGCAGCAGATGTAAAATAGTGGCATAGGAAATGCGGAAGACTTCACGAAAATTACATAGTAATCATCTTTGTGTTTTGTAATTTGTGTTTATTCCAATGATATGAACCATTAAATAATATGATTAAATGTTATTTTGACGCGAATGGATCAGTTGATGCATGGCGGCGAGTTTTAAATTGATTTGTACTCATTTATATTGTCTAAAGCACTATGTATTCTCGAAAGCACCTGTTCTGTTATCTGCTGGCATTTGGTTATGAGTTAACTTGATACTGCCAAACTGTTGAAAAGAAACTATTTTTCAGGCAATAATATTGAAGCCATATCATTATTTTCCACACAGTGAAGATATTTTCATTTTAGTGACTTTAACATTATTAAAGTTCAAGTGCAAAAAGTTCAAGTATAAAAAGTATAAAAAGTATAAAAAGTATAAAAGTAATGTAAAAGTAAAAGTAGAAAGTTCAAGCAATAACATACCCCTGCTGAAAAACCTTTGGTATTTGACTCTTCAATAAGCTACAAAATTGCATCAAATATCAATAATAATGGGTTGATTTCAAGGCTAGTGTCAGTATATTTGTAACCATTCCATGAGTAAGCCATTCTTCATTGAGAAATTTTATACACCATCATTCATTTCATTGTAAAGCTATTTTTTCTACTTAAAACTCTGCAAATATTTGGTTTTTGCTTTAGCATTGTAGCTAAGTTTAATGTTTGAGTAAATTGTGGTTAATTAACCTCTATTTAGTGTATAAATGTATATGGTTACCTTTATTTACTTAGAAAATGGGAGTTTATTTGATGAATTGCTTAAAATGATGATATTAAAAACTAATTTATGCTAGTTTTGTAAGTCTTATTATTAAAAACTGATTTTCCTATTCATCATGGTTCAAATTAATCTTTGTATTTGTCTTATTCTTCTTCATACAGATCTTATTACTAATCAATTTTTGTACAACATTAACTACTCCATTATTGTTTTCATATTTTCCTAGAAGCAAATCTGCCATTAATAGTAACGTGTCTCCAATATGGATGACGTTGAAGAAGCTCTTTCTAATCATCTATTATAATTTCCACCAACATTATAAGGGTAAATATTTTATATTACATTTTGCTTGTTTTTGTTCTACGGTTCGATTTGATATCATAGTTTAAAACAGACAGAAAGAACATAAATATTTTTTATTTGTTTTTCGAATCCTGGTCACTACTAACATACATAGTTTTATTTCTTATGATGATTAAATTTCCAAGCATTTCTTCCAGGAAGAGCACGAGAACTTAGACGGCAATTTAGCCATGAATGTCATTTATTAGCAAAACAAAACGCTGGCGTTTACGTGACGAACTCGTGAGGTCGCTAGGGATAAAATCTGTTCCATATGTTGACATAACTCTTCCTGAATCATGGATGAACGCCGAGAAAGAGATCAGCCTTCAGTAAGTCCCTTTAAAGTGCTGTGGTGTTTATCTTTTCCGAGCTTCACGAGTCGTTAATCATCTGGAAAAATGGAAGTTACAGAGGTTGGAATTATGATCCTGTGTTTTGTAATTTTACACCATTGGTAGCCAAGCAGCATTTTAAGGTGAGCTTAATATCTTGTATGTACAATGGTGTAGGAAAGAAGTAATTTGCCAGTACAACTGTGTATCGGGGCAGGTAAGAGGACCAATTATACATAGTAAATATAATAAAAAGTCACTAATTTTACAACTGTAATTGATCCCTGACTATCTCCTACATCAACTGACGATCTATAAAAATATATTAATTTGCATGTTTTTCTTCTAATTTTCTTACGCTAGGACATCCAAGGTATGCAAAAATATTGTTTTGAATCTGCATTGGTTTCTGATCCTGCTCAAGAAAATATTTCTGCACGATTTTAGTCTTAAGTACAACGAAAGCATTAGGAATGATTGGTATTGTAAAGTTTATGTTTGATCACGATACAAAATGAATTGCTTCAAAATGCTGTTATGTCTGGAGAAAATTTTAAGGTTTGTATCATGTTAACATCTATCTTGGTTTGTTGTTGTTTGTAATGTTATTAGTCTTACATAATACGTGCAGGTAATCAGTACCAAATAATAGTTAATTATTAGTCGTAAATTAGTCTTCTATTATAGTAACCTGGTATGAAAGAATTTTATATGCAGTGTGGTGTTTGAAATTAAATGAAGATATGATTCGCACTTTGCTGGACAATTTAAGCAATTGTCTCATCAATCTGAAAAAATTCAGTGACTCAACGGGATTTCAACCCATGACTTCTGCGGTGCCGGGTGCAGTGCTCTGCCCAACTGAGCCATGAAGTCAGCTACAGTGGAGAGCAGGTCAATTTTGTTGGCCTATGTTTTCTCGTGAAAGGAGCCTCTCCACTGTGTGTCTTCATAGCTCAGCTGGCCGAGCACTGCACCGTCACCGCAGAGGTCAAGTGGGTTCGAATCCCAAGCTGAGTCACCTCATTTTTCAGGTCTTCATGAGACAATTGCTTAAATTGTTCAGCAAAGTGCGAAGATTATATCTTCACTTAATAGGTAACCTGGTCTTTACTAACACAGTAAATCCTGGTCTTTACTAACACAGCATCCTGGTCTTTACTAACACTGTAACCTGATTTGTTTAGATGTTTCTGGTTGGAAGTTTTGACGATGAAGATATCTTCAGTGAACTTTGAAGTTATTAACATACTTTACGGCCTGCAAGATACCCTAAGCACCTGCCTACCATCTTCGGATGCTCCCTGAAGATGGACCATCTGAGCATGTGTTATTTTACTTCCGTGGTTCTTCAAAACAGAACGCAGAGGATCGTTTTATGCAACATGGGCCACCAGCCCAAATCCCTCGCAGGAAATTTACTCACGTGTTAATTACATTCACTTGAACTTTGCTATATCTCTAGTGAAGTTCCAAGTAGTGGCTATGTGGCTATGCCAAAAGC